TGGAAAATTACAGCTAACGAATTACAGTCCCTTCATGGAAAAAATGTTGCCAGGAAGCTATGTCTGCCGCATTGCCTTGTGTTAAGGTGAGCAGCTGTCAGATTTCTAAGAAGCATTGAAAGGCTGCCTTGTTTCCATGGATACAAGCAGAAAAAAATTGGCTGGAAAAAAGTTAAACTCAGGGGCTTGGCTCTCAACCATTTTTCTGAACATCAGGAGTTGCTTCCTAGTAGTTTGCAGACGACTGCTGCACTGCAGCCAGAAATAGAGAGCGAGAGAGCGAGCGAGAGAGAGAGAGTGTATGAAGAGTCAACTACATGTTATTCGTTACTTATTTCAATTTTTACAGACAGATCTGATTTGGTTGGGTTTACCCTAAATTAAAAATATAATGCCATACTACTTTGAACATCTGAGCGGTGGAGGGTCATGTGCTTTACAACTATCAGTTAATTAAGAACTGCAGCACCCCATGAGGTATCATACCCATTTTATAGATGAGTACACTGGAGCACACTTGCCCAAGGTTAGTAAGTGAGGTGGTGGCACCAATGAAAATACAAACCACATATCATAACTCCCATCCCCGTGCTCTAACTACTTTCCTCAAGACAAAGGCAAACTTCTCTATGATGAAAATTAGAGAACCCTCACAGCTATTGATAAGTGCACATATGAACCCCATTGCAATGCACTAGATCTTGTGCTGAGAATGGATTGGATATTATGGAGCTTAGTTACTGTGCTACCTTTCTTTTCCTTAGCTCTCTTTATCCTGCTCTAGCAGTTACATTTGTTTTCCTGGCCTTATTTTGAAGTTGAGATATAGTCACTCTAATCAGTGTGCCAGTTTGTACCTATCTGACTGAAATGTTCCATGGTTTTCTCCATTAAGGCCAGATTGTGACCCCTTTGCTCACAATGAGTAGCACTGTACTCCACAAATAGCCCCACTGGCTTCAGGGGAAGAAATTTTAAATTAAAAACTGGCTTTTTCAAAAAATAGAAATTTTCATGAAAATTTCCAGTTTTTGTCCCCAAAAAATGAACACTTGTCAGTTTAAAACAAAAATTTTCATTTTTTAGGGTTTTTTTTTTCAATGAAAACCCAAAAAACATCTAAGAAGATTTTTGACAAAGCCAGTTTGTTTTCATCTAATATTTTCATGGGGGGAAGCAGAAAATTCCTGACCAGCTTTGTATACCTCAGCATGAGGGACAGAATCACCGTCCAGCCCTTAGTCATGAAGCTAGTCCTCAGCCCGAAGTACCAAATCATGTTTCCTTCCACAAAGTATTGACCATTAGTGATTCTTTCTATCTGTCTGGTTTTGTAATTTATCCCCTGGATAGAATGATTTGTTTCTTTTAATCAGTGCAGTTACTGCGATGGTATAACAATGAGCATTAAAAAGAAATACATCCCAAAGCACCAGAGGCTACAGAGCTGCACAGAATGGCAATAGACTTCGCCACCTGCAGAATGAAAGGTAAATCACACTTTTCCATGGCCTCTATCAACATAGTATCCGAGCACCTCATTGTCTTTCATGTATTCATCCTCACAACACCCCATCATCCCAGTTTTACAGAGTAGAGGGAGACTTAAGTGACTTGCCCCCCGTGACACAGGATACCTGTGGCAGAACAGGGAACAGGATGCAGAGTATCCTAAGTCCTAAGCAACCACACTAAACCCTGGACCGCTTCTTCTACTGCTGGCAGCTTTCTTTTAATAACCACACACTCTAGCAGAATGATTCCCTTTGACTGGAAGAAGGAAAGAGAAACAGTGAAGTTCCTTACATGATTGTTCGATGGAGGCCAGAGCTCTCCGCACCTTGCAGAAACCTGGTGGTTGCTGTACAATCCTGTGCAAAGGAAGCTACTGAAGCCTTAGCTGGATGAGAATATCATTGATACTCATTCAGTTCTAGGCAAATAATGACTAGCACGAGGCTTTGGGCAGCTAATACATGGTAGGAGATGGGGAGAGGTTTCATTTATGTTTCAAAGACAATATGACCTCAGATTTTGCATACAGTTGACACACCTGTAAAGGTAAAAAAACAAGGGGTGTCCCAGAAAAATGGGGCCTCCCAGAAGAAATCTGCTACTGAGATGATTCCTCTTTTGGATAAAAATATAATTGGCTCCTTGTGACTGGTGGTATTGGCTCCAGCTAACACATCTATCACCCCACAACTCAGCTGTCCATTGACCCTATTTAATACATCATTGTAATGACTCCCTGCTGCCTTTTAAATTTAACAGGCACTCACAGTAAGGTGCCAAATGACACCAGTTCAAGACATGAAAGTTCAGAGGCACGATAGAGGCTGAATATTTTACAGTCAATGATTTGTTTTCACCTGTTGTTCAAAATGATAGATAGTATGTAGGACAGTGGCAGTGCAAAAACCCAATAGAATGAGAGGATACCTGCTGTGAATGAAACAGGCTTTGGGTGAGACAAAAGAATGAAACCCTTGGACTGTGTGGGGCAACCATCTCAAGCAAGACCTTGCAATACTAGTTGGACCTGTTCTGGAACACACACACACACACACACACAATCAATGCCCTGAAAACTACTTAAAGTCACAGAATCATAGACATGTAGGACTGGCAGGGACCTTGAGAGGTCATCTAGTCCAGTCTCCTGCACTCAAGGCAAGTCCATCTTATTGTGCTGAAAATGGTGCTGGAAGGATGATCCTGTGGTTATGGCATGACTCCGGAGACCTGGATTCAATTCCTTGCTCTGCCCCAGCCTGCCTGTGTGACCTTGGATGAGTCACTATGTCTCTTTGTGCCTCAGTTTCCCTTCTGTAAAGTGATGCATCTTTTCTGTCATGTCTATTTAGATTGTAAGTACTTTGAGGCAAGGATTGTAGCATAGCACCTGGTACAACATGGCCCTGATTTTAGGGCCTCAAGGTGCTACAAGTGGTAAAAAATAACAAAAGTAGAATCATAGTGATAACTCTTCTTCTCCTGTAAGGAAGCCAGTAAGAGAAGCACAGCAGGGTCAGGACCTCCCAAACGATTAATCTGTTCCTCCTCAGCAGGAGCATCTGATGGTAGAAATGTCCATCTTGTGAGTGCAGCTTTGAGAACAGAGGCCGCAGAACACAGAGGTGAACTGGCAGATGAGGATAAAAAAGTGCACGAAATCCCAAGGACTTTGCTTGGATTGACCTACATAGCAGATCCCTACCTTCCTTTGTAAAGCACATCCTTGGCATATGAATCTGCTACAGCTAGGGCTGAACTGCAAAACTCAGATCCAGAGCCTTGTTTCCCCAGAGTTTGTTGAGGAGGGGTCTTAGTTCACCCCATTGTCCTATCATACTCAGGGAAGTTTGTACAACGGCTAGTATAAATAAAAATTGATTCTTCCTGCCTCCTCCTTTCAGCTGTGTCTGCTCCTGTTATTCAGACAGAGCAAACTGGTCAACAGTAAGCTGTAGATATACCAGTCTCACACCACCCATCACTGAGGTGCAAACATATGATATCAAGAACAGCAGTGAGCAGAGACAGTCTCCATCTGCCTATGTAAATCAGTGTAGTACCATTGACTTTAATGGAACTATACCAATGTATACCAGCTGAGGCTCTGGCCCTAAATCTGTAAATCTACTCTTGCACCCCTTCATTCTAGGAGCCCTCTTATCCCACAGAGGAAAGAAGTGGTGGCAGAGAATGCGATTTATATTCATTCATTATCCACATCTGAAAGGAGCTAAAAAATTATAAATAAGTAACAGAAGCGTACCCAGCTGCACATGGTGTTAGTCCAGTTTGTTTTGTAATTTGTTAGTAATTTCTTTAAAAAACTCTCAATTTAAAAAGAAAAATATTTCCCACTGCAATTATTTTTGCGATCCCCAGTCCAAAAAAATAAATAACAAAATAATAGTCTTGCTTTTTATAGTAAAACAGCAGTTACCAATCACAGAGATGTGCTTTGTGCATCTCAGGTAGGCACCTTGGTTATTCTGACATGTAACAATTTTATCCCCTTTTTTTGCATGCACGCATGAGAGAGGGAGAGAGAGAGAGAGAAACAAAAAAGAACCCCCCCGCCCCCCGTAATCCTGAAGGAATGGTGTTAAAGGAAATATTTGTTCCAATATAAAAAGTTACTGCTTTGTATATTGAATGAAAGCTTTTTCCCCCCCCTTTTGATTTCTTCAATAGTCAATTGCCAAAACTGAGTATAAAAGCTGGTTTGGTTTGCACCAGTGTAAAAGAACCTGTATAAGCTAGTGAACATGTATATTTCAGCAGTGTTAGAAAGAAGAAGGAACTTCAGCAAGCTGTTTACAATGTATTTTAGTTGTGAGAAAGCAACATCAGCAACACATGGTATTTTGCATAACTTAGCAGAAAATGACAGTCCCTCTTAATTCCCACAGGCTAAATTATTTAGTACAGTCATCCATTACTTGATGATTACAGTTTGAGTGTTTGTAGTAAAACAATTGATTTCTTGTTATGTGACAGGTTGATACATTTAAAATCTAAATATGGGCTCATATCTAGAGGTCCTTACTTAGCTTTTACTCAGGTATAACTCCTACCACATTTCGTCTGAATACAGAGTGAATATGACCTGAGCATGGACTTCAATATTTATCCGAAGTTGCTTTATTTATACAATACCCGTATAGATTTATCATCTTATTCTGAGCTCACACTAATATAAGTTATGAACAGTAATTCAATTGAAATCATCCAATATAAGTGAGATCTGATTCAGGCTGTTAGTTTCACTTCATTCTGACATCAAAGTTCAGAAATGATGCAGAATGTGTCTTCTGTAGTAATGAACTCTAGTTTGTCACTGCAAAAGGGTTATTGTCCTGCTCCTCAGAATGCTAGAGAGATTTCCAAATCCTAGGACCAGTTAGGCAGTCCTTTGTCGCACAAAACTCCCGCTGAGGGCAGTAGGATTCATTTTATGGGAATGAGGACGCATAAAATGGGACATAAAATCAGACTTTCTCACTGTTGTGAACCTTTTCACCTCTTTAATTATACATATAGGTTACAACATTCTTTTCAGTCACAGAGTCTGGATGGAGACGCGACACTGAAATTGTTCCTAGACCATGGAAAATGTACTGGCTTGACTATTCACCAATGCTCTTTGGTCAGCCATAGCACAGACAAAAGCAAGAGACAGGTAAAGTATTTTCTAGGTGGAGTAACTGGCATCAGACATATAACTAGTTATTTGAGCCACTAAAATTGTCTCTGATATAAAATATGCCTTTGGTCAGATTGACTTTATTCCAGTAGTTTAGTAGGTTGACTGCTGCTGTTTGTTATTGTGGGAGCGAGTTAATCAATTGCCAGTGATGGAATCTTGCAGACAAATGGGAATTCTCTGTTGCAGCTGTTGTCATTCCATGATCGTAAAGCTATAGGGGAGTAAGAATAAGGAGTTAGTTAAGGTTTTCAATGAAGGTGTGATCACATGATGAAGGATAAAAGTGCCTCCATGAAGAAATGACATACAATGTATACAAAAACACCAAATTTCCTACACGAAAGGAGTTAGTTTCATCCCCAATCCTTAGCCCTGAAGAAAAGTCTTGTCAAAAGATTCTGTAATACAGACACGATTCTGACAAGTTCAAAAGCTGCATATACTTTTGCGTAGACACAAGACCATGCTGGCTGGATATAGAGACTATTACAGTCTTACCAGCCCCAGCCCCGCATACAATTATTCGTGCATATATGTTGTGCTTATACCTGTGCAGATTCCCATAGGACAAGAGAAAAAGACTTATTTGTAATGAGAAAAGGAGTACTTGTGGCACCTTAGAGACTAACCAATTTATTTGAGCATGAGCTTTCGTGAGCTACAGCTCACTTCATTGGATGCGATGAAGTGAGCTGTAGCTCACGAAAGCTCATGCTCAAATAAATTGGTTAGTCTCTAAGGTGCCACAAGTACTCCTTTTCTTTTTGTGAATACAGACTAACACGGCTGTTACTCTGAAACCTGTTATTTGTAATGCTCCTTGTTCGAGTCTATCCTTTCCCCAATTCTGTTGTCTCCCTCCGCTCCATAGTGACTGCATCTCTGCTGGTGTTTCTTTCCAATAACATATCCCTCCCATTATTTCCTTGGTCTGGAAATGTCTCGGGGCTTTGTCTTCACATACAGCGCGACAGCAGCGCTTCTCCCATCAGCGTAGTTCATCCATCTCCGCAGGAGGCGGTAGCTATGTTGAAGGGAGAAGCTCTCCTGCCAGCTCTGTCTTCATGGGGGTTTAGTAGGCATAACTACATCGCTCAGGGGTGTGGATTTTTCACACCCCTGAGTGATGTAGTTATACCCATATAGGTGTGTAGTGTAGACCTGGCCTCAGTTGAGGGGGAAGCAGGCAAGCTGGTGTCTTTATACTGCCTTTGATTGACAGTTCTTTGCTTCTCGGGGAGGGGTGAAATTTCCTCCTCTGCAAAAACAACATGTAAAAATAATCATGCTGCCAGCATCTTTTCTGTTATGCATAGAAAAGGGTGATCCTGCATTTCACTCAATTTATTTACACATGCTTCTTGGAAAACGTGGTGTGCAGCCTGAGGCTCAACAGTGAAGTACCTACCACTGTTATATCTGTACCAGATCTGTACACAGTCCTCTTCCTCTGGAATAGAGTGGATCCCATCATCTGGCTGGTTGCCATCCCAGTAGTTATAGTCATAGGAAGAACCATCTGTCCATTCAAAGTGACCTTCCTATTAAACATCATCCGGAAATTAGGGGGAGGGGCTAATGGAGAAGTGCAATGATTTCAACAAATGATTTGTGGAAGTCTGGACTTCAGGATTGGCCAACAGAATATTCTCTTCTACCTTGTAGAGAGTGACGTCATCAATCTGACCTCATTCCTATGTCTAGAAGGCAAAAACTAGGTCCATGCTGAACAAAGGCCCTTCTTCTACTGAGTTTTGCACTCTGCTAGTGTATTGTTTGAGATCATAGAGTATGACTACACTACAAAGAAAAACATGCAGCGTCAAGTCTCAGTTGATTTGCCCTCCTGGGGCTTGGGCTGTGGGGCTAAAAATAGCAGTGTAGACATTCCCCCTCAGGCTGGAGCCTGAGCTTCGAGAGTCTCCCCCTCGGCAGGTTTAAGAGCCCAGGCTCCACTTCATTGGGTTTCCTTTTGTTACTGTGTAATTTTTCAAAAGATTTCAAAAGTTACAGAGTAAGATAAAGAAAAATGAAAAAGTGGGCGAGGGGGTGGGGGACTAGACATTATTTATTGTATTGCACTCAACATGGGTGCTGAAAGCCATTGAACCAAACTGCAAACCCTGAATATGATGGAAGCCATGCACTCAGTTGCTATTCTTCAAGCCAGGGGGTGCTGGACTCCCAGTACTCACTGTCCTTGTCCTCTACCCGTACACACACACACACACCCCCCAAAAACGGAGAAAGTAGGAAAATATTTTGCAGAAAATTCATACGCACATAAATTGTTCTGTTTCAAACCATGTCACATGGAAACAACTTTGAAATTTCAACATTTATCATGAAATTGTCTCCTCCCCACCCCCTTTTCTTAAACATTTCTTGGCTACCTCAGTAGTTGTGGAGATTGAATTATCCTCTAATGTTCATAGGTCACAGCTTGAAACACTGGAAGGGCAATGTGGATAAGCAGAGAATCTTGCTCTCCAGGGCTGTCAGTCCAGCACTTCCAAGTTGTATTATAGTCAGAGGGCGGAAATTGAAAGGTGTAGAGGGAAAACAGAAAAAATAATTTTGCCTTTTATGTGAATCTGATGCCAAGGGTTACATCTCAGTGAGTTCCAGGTTGAATAGATTTCTTGTTCTTTTTATGAGAAAACCTGCTTGCATGATGATCCAGAGAAAAAGCAGGCGGTAGCTAATGTCGCGGTTTCTCACCTGTCTTAGGTCATGAAGTCCCATCCAGATATCGGTGGGTATTCCAGGCACTCGGCTGTTTACTAGGTCATATACAAAGACATTCTCTTCCCAGCTGGTAAAGTACCATAATATGAAATAGTTAGGAGGTTGGTATTAGTGAAATTAAGCAAATACTATCCCTCGGCATTCAGACTGCAGTTTGGCAAATGGGACCCAAATCTTTAAACTACCCTTTGAAACTGTCCATGGAAATTTTGGATTCATTTTCTTAGTTTGTGTAAGAGGATGGCTTAGTATGGCAAAACCCGGAGCTGGATGGAAACGCAGGGAAAAATACATGGCAGTGATTTCAAATCCCCGTCCCCTTTCAAAATTAAAAAATTCAAACTTTCAAAAATTCAAAATCATTTCAGCAGCTGTAACACCAAGCAGGAGGTGTGATAACGTAAAGTGTCTACTGCCTGTGTTCTGCTGGAATGGTGTGAAATGAACTCAAGCAGGTCAATGAGCTTCCACATCTTAAACCAGTGCTCTTCAAGATTTCTGAAGTGGGGGCCACTTTGGCAAATAAACCTTCAATGTGAGAGCCACATCAACCTGCACAGATGGTTGAACACTCTGAGTTCTTTGTTGGTTGATATGGTAATATTACTGTTATTGGTAATATTGCTTGGGGTGCAGCAGGGGGAATGGGGGGCTGGCTCTGGGAGGGGTGTCAGGGCTGGGCAGGGGCTTCGGGTGCAGGAGAGGGTGAGGGGGTGCAAGCTCTGGGAGGGAGTTTGGGTGCAGGAGGGGACTCCAGACTGGGGCAGTGTGTTCGGGTACAGGAGGGGATACAGGGTGCAGGAGGGGGTATGGGGTGCAGGCTCTGGGAGGGGGCTCAGGGCTGGGACAGAGGCTTGGGATGCAGGAGGGGGTAGTGGGGGCTGGCTCGGGGAGGGGGCTCAGGGCTGGAGCAGGGGATGCAGGAGGGGGTTTGGGGTTCTGACTCTGGGAAGGGGGTCAGGGATCAGGCTTGGGGTGCAGGAGGAGGTATTGGGGACAGGGGTGGCAGGTTTGTAGACATTTTGGTGGTGCCCAGAACGCCCCCCCCAAACTCCACCCCCTCCTGCCTAAGGCTCTGGGAAGGAGTTTGGGTAGGGGGAGGAGGTCTGGGGTGCAGGCCCTGGGCTGGGGCAGGGGATTGGGGTGCAGGAGGGGTGCAGGGTACAGGCTCTGGGAAGGAGTTTGGGTGCAAAAGGGGCAAGAGGTTGGGCTCCGAGAGGGAGTTTGGGTGGGGTAGGGGCTGGGGGTGCAGGGGCTGGGATGGAGTTTGGGTGCTGGGTGCAGGCTCCAGGCTGGGGCAGGAGGGGTGGGTGCAGGAGGGGATGAGGGGTGCAGGATCTGGGATGGAGTGCGGAGGGCTGGGGTGCAGGCTCTGGGAGGGAGTTTGGGGGCAGGAGAGGGTGTGTGGGAAGGGGGTGGATGTGCAGGCTCTGGGACGGAGTTTGGGTGCAGGCTCCAGGCTGGGGGTGGGGGGTTTAGGAGGGGGTGAGGGGTGCAGGCTCTGGGAGGGAGTTTGGGGGTTGGAGGGGGTTCAGAGGGAGGGGATGCGAGCTCTGAGAGAGAGTTGGGGGTGGGAGGGGGTGTGGAGGGAGGGGGGTGCAAGGATGAGGGGTTTGGGTGTGGTTGGGGATGAGGGGTGTTGGAGGGGGCTCAGGGCTGGGGTAGAGGGTTAGGGTGCGGGGGGGTGAGGGCTCTGGCTGGGGGTATGGGCTCTGGGGTAGGGCAGGGCTGAGGATGAGGAGTTTGGGGTGCAGGCAGGCTACCCTTGGGCTGGGGCCAGAGAGGAGGACTCCCCCCAGCCCTCTCCCCATGGGCATCAGTGAGCTCTGGGAGGGGGACCCCTCTTCCCCCCCCACCACACTCACCCACACCACTGTCACTTCATGTTCTCCTCGGACCCCTCTCAGGTCCAGGAAGCCCCTTCGCCTCCCCTGTAGTGGGTGCCGGGCGGGGGCAGGGGGGGCTGCCATCACATGTGCGCCTCCTCCTCTGCTGCTGCCCCTCACGGCAGCCGCACTGGGGGTGAGGGATGGGGCTGCCCCTTGGCCAGCATGGGGCAGGAGCGGTGACTGTGGGCGGGGGGGGCCCCCGTGCTGGTGGAGGGTCCTGCCAGAAAAGGGAAGGGTCCGAGGCAGACGGGCAGGGTAAGGGCAACCTGCCCTGCCACGGGGGGTTGGGGGGCACTAGGGCCCTGTGGCGGCAGTTGATGCTGGGAGCCAGCAGAGCAGAGGCAGCGTGGAGCTGCAGGGGAGAGGCAGGGACGCTCCCGGACCCAGGGGAGGTCGCAGGGGCAGCAAGTGGGGGCCGGGGGACACTTGAGGGAGGTGTGGGGGGGTGGCAGGCAGGGCCGGGGGAGAGACCCGGCCCCATACATTGGTGGAGCTGGGCCCCCGGGCCCTGACTATTGCTGGAGCCCGGGCACCACAGGTCCATACAACTCGCTGCCCCTGATTGGGGGCTGGCTCTGGGAGGGGGCTCAGGGCTGGGGCAGGGACTTGGGGTGCAGGAGAGTGTGTTGGGGGCTGGCTCCGGGAGGCTGCAGGTTGGGCAATGGAAGAGCTATTCAGAACCTGCCCATCGAAGGGGGTGGCACTTACTTCGGGGCAGTCCCAGCCCCACGCCGCTCCTGGAAGGGGCCAACACGCCCCTGAAGCCCCTGGGGAGGAATGCTGCTCTGCATGCTGCCCCTCTGTGCAGGCTCCGCCCCCACAACTCCCATTGGCCACAGTTCCCCATTCCCGGCCAATGGGAGCTGCTGGGGCAGTGCTTGCAGGCAGGAGCAGTGCGCGGAGACCTCTGCTTACCCCCTTGCACCCCGGGGCCTTGGGGGCATGCTGGCCACTTCCAGGAGCAGTGTGGGGCCAGGGCAGGCAAGGAGCCTGCCTTAGCTGCAGCCTCACTGCTGCCAGAAAGCGCGATCGACAGTGAGCTGCACTTAGGGTCCATGGGAGCCGCCACTGGCTCACAGGCCTTGCAGTGAAGAACACAGTCTTAAACCATCAAGAGTGGCTGGCCTTGGGATGGAGGAAAAAACATGGAAACAGGACATCGCACGGTGAATGCCCATTCGCTCACTAGGGGCCTGCTTCAGTACTCCTTGATTTCAACGAAAACACTTCTGCAGCACCTCTGTTTTCAATATTAGCGTGTGTGTGGGGGGAAGATTCTTGAATTTGAGATGAATTATAGATGTGCCCATGTAGCAAAGTCTTCCTCTGATATCCGAATGTTTAGATCCAGCATTTTGCTTTGGGCCCCATTTCTAATCTGGGTTTGTGAACTGTTCCATGAAACAGAGAATGGAAAACCTTTCTGTTCTGAAGTTCTGAGTCAGACAAAATTGTAACCAAAATTGTTCCCTTGAAACCAAAGCCGCCCTCCTCCATGCAGGGACTGATTAATATAATAGGTACAATGTGACTGCAGTTGTCAGAGTGGAGTCTTTGGTAACTGAGGGCCACATTTTCAGAGTCTCCAAAAATATGACAATAAAATTGGATCAAGCATCTGATTGTGCACACAAAGCCTCACTTTTGCTCATGCACATCAGGTAGTTGGTGTGCAGTTTATATGCAAATGCATGGGGTTTGCACGCACATTCACACGGCCTCTTGAAAATGTGGTCCTTTCAATTATTATATTGTACAACTACAGCCAAACCCAGGGTGATCCAAATAGCTTTGTTGTAACACAGAGCATAAGGTGACAACTTGTTATTTATGTTAATGTAACTAAACAGTATTACAGAACATGGCCATTTCACAAGTGCCTCTGGGCTTGACTAAGAGCAATAGCGATAGATCTGCTTCAGAATTATTGGTTCTACCACTTGAGCTAAAGGAGACTCTCTGATAGACATCTAATTAATACAGTTGAGGAGTTTTGATTTTGTCCATTAGAGGGCAGAGATACACACGCACACTAGCTAGTGCATTTCAATACAGATACGCAGAATTTATGACAGTGGTAAATTAGGCTTAAATGGGTTTGCTTTCTCATAGGAAGGTTAAACTCCAGCTGAGGAATTATTTATATATATATTTTTATTGCCACAGACATTGTTTAGCTGGACTTTGACAATGTTTTAGAAACAGATTTCTTTCATTCTTACCTGTGAATCGATGCTAATTTGGCTGATTTTATGCCAATGGAAAATTCCGCACAATAGAGATCGGCTTCAGCCCATGTTTTATTGAGGGGAAAGTATCTGTAACAGTACCCTTCATATTCTGTCCAAAACAGTGGGCAGGAGTAGGACTGAATTGGCTCTGGCATAGCTGGGGGAGAAAGAAAAGAAAATTGGAAGAGCATTTGATACACAACAGCTGCAGGGACCCCGACAATGGTGAATGTCTCTGTTTTTTAGGACATGTCTCAATGTCCTTGCTGGCTTTACAAAAAATGAAAAAAATGAAAAATTCCCCTAAGGGCTTAGATTTTCACGAGCAACTGGGGACTTTGAGTGCCTCCATTCTTGGATGCCCCCTCAAAATATCTGAATTTCTGAAGATGGGAGCTCAGCACTTTGGAAAGTTTGAGCAGAATTTGCCATTTCTGAGTAGTCCAAGCAGGGAAGAAAAATACTTTTGGATGCTACCATAATATAAATATTTACTAACCCTACTGTACATTTTCAAAGTAGGCTGGAAGTGACACTATGGAGTTCTGTAGGGATAAGATCAGGTCTGGGCCCATTCTCATTCACATCAATGCCTGGAAAGAGCAAACTTGTAGGAGAGGTTGAACCACCATTGCAGATAACACAGAGAGAAGGGGAAAGACTCCAATCAAAGGGACCAGGAAAAAAAATTGGGGGCAGTGGTGGGAAACAGATACATGCAACTTCATGCAGTAAAAGCATTGAAAACAGTGTAGAAAGATGCCAAGAAACATTATATCCTAAATGATCACAAGATACAAGACACTGAGGGAGAAATAGTGAGCAGAAATTTAAATCGATCAGTCACATTTCTGGGAGGTAGGTAAGAAGGTAAATAGGGCCCTGATTCAGCAAGATATTTAAGTACATGCTTAACTTTAAGTACATGACTGGTCTTGCTGAAATCAATGGAATGATCTATGTGTTTTAATCACCAGGACACATCACAGGCTCTGTCATCTCCATCCACGCTATCTCCTTGCCAGTGTGTGATTGTTCCCTGCACTAAATTCATTCTTGAGTGCTGTCCTTTGTTTGTTTGCTTTAAATCAATGGACTCATGGAGTACTAGTCATCAAATGGAGAAGTGAGCCCCCAGCTGGAGTGATCACTGAAGACTTGGAAAAGGTAGAGCTGAGGGCAGCAAGGATGAAATGTTTCAGGTTTTGGAAAAAGGGGAAGGAAAATGCTGCTGATGTTCTTTAGAAAAGAGGAAGCACAACTGATGTGTATGAAATCCTAAGAGGTCCAGAGAAGGTGGATGCCACAAAACTATCGAAGCAAATAACAGGCTCAGAATCCAGGGAGTTCCAATTGAAGCTAGGAAAGGATCTGGTATTCAGGGACTTCAAGGGGAATCATCTTTACAATGAGCACAATTAACCTGTAGAACAAACTCTGCTAAAGGCAAAACTGAAGCGGCAACCAGGAGCATGTTAAAAAAGGGGGGGGATTAGCCAAGTCCTAATCATCACAGGGTACAAACGCTAGAACTTGCTGGGCTGAACTCCTTCTATCCCCAAATGTCACTACATGAAGCTTCCTTTGGCAGTCATTTTGCACCCCATTTCTTTAGTTCCTTCCACCCAGAGCCCTCAAAGCATTTTACGAACATCAGCCGATTCAGCCTCAGAGAAGCCCCCTGATATAAGCATTACACTCAGTTTTCAAGTAAAGAACACTTAAGAGGCAAAGGTGCTCATTGATGGTAACACAGGAAGTCAATGCCACAGCCAGCAATAGAGTCCAGCTCTTCTGCTCCAAGGCCTGTCCTTTAACCATTACATCGCTATTGCTGGGTACAGAACATAAAGCTGCCTCTGGGTTATCGATCAGCTCCCCAGAAACTGGGAGATTTGTCACAGTCTGTGGCAGCAGAATGACTCAGATACCGGGAACTGACTGTTCCCAGCATTTCAGCGCTCACAACAGCACTGTGAAACAAACAGCAGGCATTCAGGGGAACTGGAGCGCTGTGAGTCAGTCTCTCCTGCTGACCCGGGGTATTAAATGCCTCCATAATGTCAAATCTAGTGAGCCCAGTTATTTCAAGTACTGCAAAACCGGAGCTATTTTGTGGCTAATGTAAACAGCTACCTTTTCATTGCTTTTCTCTGACAGCCCCAAGCCTCCACCAGCACTCTTCTATCCCTTGAGCTCAGATAAAAGATAATTATTCTTCCTTTGTGGTGACCCTTCCCCTTTCCCCTCCAGAGCTCTTTAGAGGATGTATCCTGATACAAGTGCTCTTGGAGCCAGTTCCAGTCATTATCGGCCCTGAGAAGTGCCATTCCTAGATAACTAGGGTCAGTGAGCAACTCAGATCTCAAGAACCAAGTAACATTGTAGAGATGAACGAGTTGCTTTCAGATCACTATGTCTGACTATGTTAGTGATGGGCTATGCAAAAGAGCTCTAGTTGAAAATCAGATTGATACCTTGAAAAATGGAAGCAGCTTTTTAAAAATTGTAGCAAATTTGTATTCAGTTAACAGCAAGATGCAGTGTTTATTCCCATGGGTCACATCCTGCCATTGTCTCACAGAGAAAACAGTTACTCAGGGCTACCTCACATCCTGTTACAACAAAACCGGAGAGAGAGAGGGACAGAAGGATCAAACACCAACGAATGGAAGTGAGGGATCGGCCTCCAGCCCCCACAGATCCCAGAAATCCCAGGACAGGAAGCACCAAATAGCTGCAATGCACCCTGCACTCCGCCTTCCCTGACATGTACTGAGGGATCAGTCATGGAGTATAGGTTAGTGCTGCTTATAACTTCTGTGCATATCTCAGCCTGGCTGTCCACAGGGTTCCTAGCCTCCCTCCTTACCCACTCCCAGAGCCCCTCAGATCCCATGGAGGGTGGAATTGCCTGGAGAAGCCTCAGTGAGTGATAGGGAGCATGGCACACCAGCTCTTCTTGCTCTCGCCAGATGTATGTGGGGCTCTTCCATCCACTCATTTTACTTCTCTTTGCTCCCCATCACACCTCACTACGGGGTCCTCAGCCAGGCAAACCATTGACATCAATGGGCATTTTAGCTTAAGGGCCAAATCCAAAGCCTTTGGAGAGCAAGAGGAAGTCTCCCATTAATTTCAGTGGGTCTTGAATTAGATCTGAGTGGGCCCCATATTCTGATTTTATATATATATATATATATATATATATATATTTATGCTGCTGATGTAACTTATTACCAATTCCAGATGCAGTAACATTGGGTAGACACATGCTTCTTCCTGCTGGGTGTGGGTTCAGTACAGCAAGGTGGTGAGGACTCCTGTGGGTTGAGGGCACCCCCAGCTTCTCAGGAACACTCAGCACTGGAAGGACTCAGCCCTGCCCACCAAGCATTTAGAACACCTTGGGGTACTTAATTATTGGCTGGGATGACTGGAGACACTGTGAGCTTCACGGGCAGCCTAGTCATTGATATTTTTGGAACGCTTGTTAAAAATGACTGCGAACTCTTCACCTTTAGTTGCATGACAGCACAATGGACAAGCCAAAACCAGCAGCCGTCTCAGTGTTTTGCCTTTTCATGTGAAGTGTTATGGGCGTTTGTTGTGTGCTGGTTTGAAATTTCAGTTAGGGTGGTTTTGGCTTCCCTGAAATTTCTTGAGAAAATTGTTCCCCTTGATAGAAATGGTTGAAACAAAATCATCAGACCGAGGTGTTCATAGAGGCTTTTGATCTCCTACACCACTTTCCCGACTAGGTGTCATTAATTTGATTAGCTTCAGTGAACAAGAGGTGCCTGGAGGAATTTAAGGTTAAATATACCAGAAAAGAGAACGAGGGTAGGTCAATGCTTAATTAGCACCTTTCTGTTAGGTCAATGTAGGAAGCCTTTGCACTCTCTTTAGAAGAGGGGTTATTATTCTTAAATTCACAGGAAATAACCAAGGAACCACTTATATTCTAGAACACTTAGGTCTATTTTTATTTTCAAATCTGTCAGACATAGTATGGCAGACAAGCCCACTTCTCAGCAGGAAAACTTGAACCAAGCCCAGCCCGTCAGAAGGGTATTTGCTGGTATGGAAAACGAGGGCAGTGTCATCGGGTCAGTCATATCAGTTTTCTACATGTTCAACTATGTCAGCAGAACACCACTGTTTGACCTCCTTGGTAAAATTCTTGGAGATCTCCTTCAGAAAAGAAAGAGCTAATCCTTTATTATTTTTATCATTATTAACTCTTTCACTGAGAGAAGAAGGATCACCTGTGGTTAAGGATATGGGCAGGGACTCAGGATACTCGGGTGTAATTCTTGGCTCTTTCTGGGTGACCTTGGGCAAGTCACTTAATCTCTGTACCTTGGTTCTCCATCTGTAAAATGAGGATAACAGTGCTTCCTTTGTGCTTCGACTGAATGCTCTATGAGGCAGGGATGGCCTTTTACTCTATGTATTTACAGCATCTTGCACAACAAAGGCCCAATTGTGGTTGAAGCTTCTTGGTGCTCAGTATTCCCAATCAATATTTTCCCATGATGCTACTGAGAAAGGAAAACTAACAACAACCTGAGCCGTACAGAAATCTGCTTCTCAAGTCATTTTTTTTCATAGCAGCTTCAAATTTAAGATTGGAGGATATTTCTATGATAAAAGTGTATAGCTCTGCAATGTAGAGACTGGGTCTAGAGCAAGACTGACAAATGACATCCAGTCTGGTAGCATTCCTGGCACTTCAAAGCACTCTCACAGCATCTTTTCAACAGCAGATATTACCAGGCTTGTGCTGGAAGCAAATCACATTCTTGCTGGAGACTATTAAAGGGCTTGATTTCATCATGGGCAGCAGGTTTATCAGTAAGAGTCTAAATTGTAAACAAGACGTGAATGCCCTTAAAAAGAAGACTTAGCAACTCAGAAAAGAGGGTTCAGCCAAAGGGAGTCCTGTGGCTATCAAAATGTATCTGTAGGGCCCTACCAAATTCACGGCCATGAAAAATGTATCACAGACCGTGAAACCTGGTCTCCAGCTGTGAAATCTGGTCTTTTGTGTGCTCTTACCCTATACTGTACAGATTTGATGGAGGAGGCCAGGGTTCTCAAATTGGGGGTCCTGACCCAAAAGGGAGTTGCAGGGGAGTCGCAAGGTTATTTGAGGCAGGTCACGGTATTGCCACCCTTACTTCTGCGCTGCCTTCAGAGCTGGGTGGCCAGAGACTGGCGGCTGCTGAATAAGGGCCCAACTCTGCAGACAGCAGGGCAGAAGTAAGGATGGCAATACCGTACCATGCCATCCTTACTTCTGCACGGCTGCTGGCGGCGGTTCTGCCTTCAGAACTGGGTTCCTGGCCAGCAGCCACCCTTCTACAGCCACCCAGCTCCGAAGGCAGCGCCGCCGCCAGCAGCAGTTCAGAAGTAAGGGGAGCAGTACCACGACCCCCCCACCACTCCTTTTTGGGTCAGGATCCCTACAATTACAACACTGTGAAATTTCAGATTGAAATAGCTGAAATCATGAAATTTACAATTTTTAAAACTCTATGACCAGGAAATTGACCAAAATAGACCATGACTTTGGTAGGACCTTAGTCATGTGGCTTTGACTGTGCCTGCTACAGAGATCCAGAGATTTCAATCAACCGTGCTGTATTGCAAATAGCATACCTAGCCTTCATGAGATTAATGCTCTTCTGGGGCCCAATCCTCAGGAGGTGCTGAGCACCTTCAACTGCACTCAAGTTGCTGGGCATCAAGGGTCCCCACCAATACTCAGGAGGCATTGAGCACCTCACAGGATCAGGCCCCTAGAGTAGATTGAATGAGAGAAAACTCCCTTTACATGTAATGATCAACTGACCTTCTGCTATGGAAACCATTCCTGGAATTCTGCTGGGACTAGATGCCAGCAAGTGTGCGTTCTCTCTTACTTCTTGTACATGCAGTTAGTGTTGTCAGGATCAAGGGGTGAGCACATTTTTGGGGAAAGGGATGTTAATTTTTCTTCTCTTTCCTCTAATGTAGTCCTTTTGATTTTTCATCTCATTTAGTTTACAGCTTACCTTCAGCCACAGGAAAACCTGTAAATACAACATGAAAACATAGAAGGACCCGATGTTCCATCAATGCCCCTCCACTGCCATGTTCAATATATTTATCAGTGGGTGAAATCCTGGCCCCACCGAAGTCAATAGGAGATTTGCTATTAGCTTCAGTGGGGACAGGATTTCCCACAGAGTATGGACAAAAACAAAGAACTGAGAATTTAAAAATGTTTGGAGTAAGGAACTGAAATTGTTTTTCCAGGAGAAAATCCCAGTCCTAGAATGCTTACTCACGGCCTCATCTGCAATGGGACAACTCATGTGGGTAAAGCCTGCAGGTACATGCCTGAGCCAGGTACATGCTTTCAGCAATTCTCCGAATTCAAGCAACACATCAGGCGTCCGTTAATTCATTCTGGTCTGTCATTTTGGAAAGGGTTGGGAATGAAACATCACGTATTGGTGCTATAGATGATGTTAAGCAGGATCACAGAAAATGTGCACAATTACAGAAGGTGTGAGTATGCAGGGAATGGGACACACTTTACAAGCTCCACAAAACAATTCATATGTAAGACTTTGGCACTATCTTCTACAGACGTAACCTAACAATAACTATACACTCCCAGTGAGGATACAAAGTGCCACCCTAGGATAGATCTATAATACCTCACCAGAGTAACTATTCTACATTCCTCTTACACTACACTCGTTTTAATCTCTCCCTGTTGTTGAATAAAACACACTGCCAAAGGATAAGTACCAAAAGAGGAGTTTATGATGGATAGAAAAGAATAAGCCAATGTCATTAAGTATGACCGAGAGATTCTATGTGAATAAGGGCTGCAGGTTCAGGTCCTTAAATACAGACATCAAAAATTACATAGGGTGTCTTCAATATTATTATCATGCAAAATATTTAATTTGTATGATTATTTTCTCCCTTTCATTACATGACTACTTTCAAAACAAGCAGGTCATGACAAGGCTTTATCTTAAGTGTGTGTGTGCGCATGTATTGTACTCTGAAAGTCTCTTGGAAGCCAGCTGCTCCTTTCCTCTGCAGAACAGCAGGGCAGAGTTGGAAGAGAATGGTGACCAATGGTGTGTGGGGAGATTATAGCTTAACCAGGCAATGGAATGAAACTTTAATTGTGCTGCAAAAGTGTCACAATCTCAGACACCTAGGAGCATTTTTTGTAAATATTTTTTTATCAAAATGAAGTTATTTTTACGGAATTAAATTCTATGGTATTTGTATTTCAAGATGTAAAAATACTATAGCCAATTCTGTAGATCTCCTGCAGTACAGAAATACTATACTTCTAGCTGCAACTGGATAGGAGGCATCTTTGATTTTTCTCTCCTCAATTAGGTTTTGAGGAAGCTCCCATTGATTTGATGCCTGGCACTAAAGCCAAGCTTGTGGTAATTATTTTTCTCACTAGTTCATTGAACAATACTTATTGGGTGAGATTCTGCTCATGTAAATTTAGAACACTATCAAAGTGAGTGTAGTGACACTGGAATTACATTGGTGTAAATGAGAACAGAATTTGGCTTATTCTATCCAAGTAAAAATGTACTGCAAACCTGGGTAATACAATGAAATCACAAAGCCAGTTAAAATTTTGTTAAAATACTTCTCTCATCTAAAAAAGTACACTTTGTGATTAACTGTAGATAAACTCTGCAGCCAGTTGTGTATGTGTTATATGATCTAATATGTAGAGGGACAGTTCTTACATATGTTAACTTCACTTTATGTAAGAAAGAGTGAATAAAAGAAACGTTGCAAATCACAGTTCTTTACTTTTTGCACTTCCACAGAAAGCTAAACATCCAAAGAGTCACACTCCTTTACAACTTGCCATTGCTTTATTAATTATGATTGTTATTATTATTGAGTGCAATTACTATTGTTTGGACTAAAATCAGATTAAGAGCATTCTTTTAGCTTGTAAACATATGTAAACTTCTTGGCACCATTGTACAGGACCACATATTGTTTATAAGATTAAACTGAACATGCCTCCAAAACAAAGAAATAAAGTCAACAGAGAGAATGCTTCAACACGCTGGAACAGAAAAGATCAGCATTACTTGGTAATACACCTTCCCAAACTAAGCAGATTATTGAATTTACAAGTTTGGGTTTTATGGAGAAGTTAGCAAAACTGGTAAGGAGAATTGCATGCATTACAGGATACGTTTGTAAAAGTGCCTGATTTTAAGCCATCAACCTAATGTTTATTAACCCAAGCCACAGTCAATGATTTGCACTCACCTTGACTGATTTTAATATTTGTTTGTGGGAAAGCCTGGGTGGCAAGCAAAACCATTGAGAGGAGCACACAGAAATCCCATCTGATCACCATCTCTGATGGAGGACAAAATTTCATTTCCAGGTCTGCAGAGAGCCAATGACATGAAGCCTTTCCTTAGTTCGGTATCGCCTTGCTCTGCTGCTGAGATTCCTGGAGCAGATGTGAATATACTTTGTGCACTGCACCCTCCCCCGAAACTCCAAACTTTCACAATGACATGCTAGGAAGGCTGGCCAAGCTCCCTCCAGTGTAATACCACACGCTACACAACAACCAAGAGCTTCCCAGCTGAGACACTTCAAAGAAGCAGCTACATCCCATTTCACTGGCCGAAGTTAGTTACTTTAAACCATTTTTTTTCAAAAGTTCTGGTGAGGTTTTAGAAAGCAGGCATGCACACCTCCTAGTTGTGAGCCTTCAAAGATTAAGTTCTCGATTCAAGCAAACCACATCCCCTTTCTGCTTTCATGGCTGCTTCCTGAGAGATTTTGTTTGTGTCTATTGACTTGCCAATGTTTTACGCCACTCTTAGCACCGCATGGCACAAGTATGAGAGGTGCTTTCTGGCAGTGCAGTCCTACGTTCTGGAGCAGCAGCACTCAGAATGGGACCTAACTGGTTAGGCCTTACGGTTCGGTGTTGGAAAGATTTGTAGATTTCACATGATGTACAGAAAAGTCACAGCTTCAAACAAACAATATATCAATGGTGGGAGAAGTCTGTGTTAATGTCAGCTTTAGATGTACCTGACTGGCAGCCCTGGAGATATAGGGTATGTCTACACTATGGAATAAGGTCGAATTTATAGAAGTCGGTTTTTTAGAAATCGATTTTATATATTCGAGTGTGTCCCCCCCCACAGAAAGTGTGTCCCCCCCCACATTAAGTGCATTAACTCGGAGGAGCGCTTCCACAGTACCGAGGCTAGAGTCGACTTCCGGAGCGTTGCACTGTGGATAGCTATCCCGCAGTTCCCGCAGTCTCCGCTGCCCATTGGAATTCTGGGTTGAGATCCCAATGCCTGATGGGGCTAAAACATTGTCGCGGGTGGTTCTGGGTACATATTGTCAGGCCCCCGTTCCCTCCCTCCCTCCGTGAAAGCAAGGGCAGACAATCGTTTCGCGCCTTTTTTCCTGAGTTACCTGTGCAGACGCCATACCACGGCAAGCATGGAGCCCGCTCAGGTAACCGTCACCGTATGTCTCCTGGGTGCTGGCAGACTCGGTACGGCATTGCTACACAGTAGCAGCAACCCATTGCCTTCTGGCAGCAGATGGTGCAATACGACTGGTAGCCGTCATCGTCGTGTCCGAGGTGCTCCTGGCCGCGTCGGCTGGGAGCGCCTGGGCAGATATGGGCGCAGGGACTAAGTTTGGAGTGACTTGACCAGGTCATTCTCTTTAGTCCTGCAGTCAGTCCTATTGAACCGTCTTATGGTGAGCAGGCAGGCGATACGGATTGCTAGCAGTCGTACTGTACCATCTTCTGCCAGGCAGGCAAGAGATGAGGATGGCTAGCAGTCGTACTGTACCATCTTCTGCCGGGCAGGCAAGTGATGAGGATGGCTAGCAGTCATCCTGTACATCTTCTTGCCGAGCAGCCATGAGATGTGGATGGCATGCAGTCCTTCTGCACCGTCTGCTGCCAGCCAAAGATGTAAAAGATAGATGGAGTGGATCAAAACAAGAAATAGACCAGATTGGTTTTGTACTCATTTGCCTCCTCCCCCATCTAGGGGACTCATTCCTCTAGGTCACACTGCAGTCACTCACAGGGAAGGTGCAGCGAGGTAAATCTAGCCATGTATCAATCAGAGGCCAGACTAACCTCCTTGTTCCAATAAGAACTATAACTTAGGTGCACCATTTCTTATTGGAACCCTCCGTGAAGTCCTGCCTGAAATACTCCTTGATGTAAAGCCACCCCCTTTGTTGATTTTAGCTCCCTGAAGCCAACCCTGTAAGCCATGTTGTCAGTCGCCCCTCCCTCCGTCAGAGCAACGGCAGACAATCGTTCCGCACCTTTTTTCTGTGCGGACGCCATACCAAGGCAAGCATGGAGGCCGCTCAGCTCACTTTGGCAATTACGAGCACATTAAACACCACACGCATTATACAGGAGTATATGCAGCACCAGAACCTGGCAAAGCGATACCGGGCGAGGAGGCGATGTCAGCGCGGTCATGTGAGTGATCAGGACATGGACACAGATTTCTCTGAAAGCACAGGCCCTGCCAATGCATGCATCATGGTGCTAATGGGCAGGTTCATGCTGTGGAACGACGATTCTGGGCTCGGGAAACAAGCACAGGCTGGTGGGACCGCATAGTGTTGCAGGTCTGGGATGATTCCCAGTGGCTGCGAAACTTTCGCATGCGTAAGGGCACTTTCATGGAACTTTGTGACTTGCTTTCCCCTGCCCTGAAGAGTATGAATACCAAGATGAGAGCAGCCCTCACAGTTGAGAAGCGAGTGGCAATAGCCCTGTGGAAGCTTGCAATGCCAGACAGCTACCGGTCAGTTGGGAATCAATTTGGAGTGGGCAAATCTACTGTTGGGGCTGCTGTGATGCAAGTAGCCCACGCAATCAAAGATCTGCTGATATCCAGGGTAGTGACCCTGGGAAATGTGCAGGTCAAAGTGGATGGCTTTGCTGCAATGGGATTCCCTAACAGTGGTGGGGCCATAGACGGAACCCATATCCCTATCTTGGCACCGGAGCACCAAGCCGGCGAGTACATAAACCGCAAGGGGTACTTTTCAATAGTGCTGCAAGCTCTGGTGGATCACAAGGGACGTTTCACCAACATCAACGTGGGATGGCCGGGAAAGGTACATGACGCTCGCATCTTCAGGAACTCTCGTCTGTTTCAAAAACTGCAGGAAGGGACTTTATTCCCAGACCAGCAAATAACTGTTGGGGATGTTGAAATGCCTATATGTATCCTTGGGGACCCAGCCTACCCCTTAATGCCATGGCTCATGAAGCCGTACACAGGCAGCCTGGACAGTAGTCAGGAGCTGTTCAACTACAGGCTGAGCAAGTGCAGAATGGTGGTAGAATGTGCATTTGGACGTTTAAAGGTGCGCTGGCGCAGTTTACTGACTCGCTTAGACCTCAGCGAAACCAATATTCCCACTGTTATTACTGCTTGCCGTGTGCGCCACAATATCTGTGAGAGTAAGAGGGAGACGTTTATGGCGGGGTGGGAGGTTGAGGCAAATCGCCTGGCTGCTGGTTACGTGCGGCCAGACACCAGGGCGGTTAGAAGAGCACAGGAGGGCGCGGTACACATCAGAGAAGCTTTGAAAACCAGTTTCATGACTGGCCAGGCTACGGTGTGAAAGTTCTGTTTGTTTCTCCTTGATGAAACCCCCCGCCCCTTGGTTCACTCTACTTCTCTGTAAGCTAACCACCCTCCCCTCCTCCCTTCGATCACCGCTTGCAGAGGCATTAAAGTCATTGTTGCTTCACATTCATGCATTCTTTATTCATTCATCACACAAATAGGGGGATGACTACCAAGGTAGCCCAGGAGGGGTGGTGGAGGAGGGAAGGAAAATGCCACACAGCACTTTAAAAGTTTACAACTTTAAAATTTATTGAATGCCAGCCTTCTTTTTTTGGGGCAATCCTCTGTGGCGGAGTGGCTGGTTGGCCGGTGGCCCCCACACCGCGTTCTTGGGTGTCTGGGTGTGGAGGCTATGGAACTTGGGGAGGAGGGTGGTTGGTTACACAGGGGCTGTAGTGGCAGTCTGTGCTCCAGCTGCCTTTGCTGCAGCTCAACCATACACTGGAGCATACTGGTTTGGTCCTCCAGCAGCCTCAGCATTGAATCCTGCCTCCTCTCATCACGCTGCCGCCACATTTGAGCTTCAGCCCTGTCTTCAGCCCGCCACTTACTCTCTTCAGCCCGCCACCTCTCCTCCCGGTCATTTTGTGCTTTCCTGCACTCTGACATTATTTGCCTCCACGCATTCGTCTGTGCTCTGTCAGTGTGGGAGGACAGCATGAGCTCGGAGAACATTTCATCTCGAGTGCGTTTTTTTTCTTTCTAATCTTCACTAGCCTCTGGGAAGGAGAAGATCCTGTGATCATTGAAACACATGCAGCTGGTGGAGAAAAAAAAAGGGACAGCGGTATTTAAAAAGACACATTTTATAAAACAGTGGCTACACTCTTTCAGGACAAACCTTGCTGTTAACATTACATACATAGCACATGTGCTTTCGTTACAAGGTCGCATTTTGCCTCTCTCCACCTCGTGGCTACCCCCTCAACCCTCCCCCCTCCCTGTGGCTAACAGCGGGGAACATTTCTGTTTAGCCACAGGCAAACAGCCCAGCAGGAATGGGCTCCTCTGAGTGTCCCCTGAAGAAAAGCACTCTATTTCAACCAGGTGACCATGAATTATATCTCACTCTCCTGAGGATAACACAGAGAGATAAAGAACGGATGTTGTTTGAACGCCAGCAAACATACACTGCAATGCTTTGTTGTACAATGATTCCTGAGTACGTGTTACTAGCCTGGAGTGGTAAAGTGTCCTACCATGAAGGACGCAATAAGGCTGCCCTCCCCAGAAACCTTTTGCAAAGGCTTTGGGAGTACATCCAGGAGAGCCGCCAATGCCAGGGCAAAGTAATCCTTTCACATGCTTGCTTTTAAACCATGTATAGTATTTTAAAAGGTACACTCACCGGAGGTCCCTTCTCCGCCTGTCGGGTCCAGGAAGCAGCCTTGGGTGGGTTCGGGGGGTACTGGCTCCAGGTCCAGGGTGAGAAACAGTTCCTGGCTGTCGGGAAAACCGGTTTCTCCGCTTGCTTGCTGTGAGCTATCTACAACCTCATCATCATCATCATCATCTTCTTCGTCCCCAAAACCTGCTTCCATGTTGCCTCCATCTCCATTGAAGGAGTCAAACAACACGGCTGGGGTAGTGGTGGCTGAACCCCCTAAAATGGCATGCAGCTCATCATAGAAGCGGCATGTTTGGGGCTCTGACCCGGAGCGGCCGTTCGCCTCTCTGGTTTTCTGGTAGGCTTGCCTCAGCTCCTTCAGTTTCACGCGGCACTGCTTCGGGTCCCTGTTATGGCCTCTGTCCTTCATGCCCTGGGAGATTTTGACAAAGGTTTTGGCATTTTGAAAACTGGAACGGAGTTCTGATAGCACAGATTCCTCTCCCCAAACAGCGATCAGATCCCATACCTCCCGTTCGGTCCATGCTGGAGCTCTTTTGCGATTCTGGGACTCCATCATGGTCACCTCTGCTGATGAGCTCTGCATGGTCACCTGCAGCTTGCCACGCTGGCCAAACAGGAAATGAGATTCAAAAGTTTGCGGTTCTTTTCCTGTCTACCTGGCCAGTGCATCTGAGTTGAGAGTGCTGTCCAGAGCAGTCACAATGGAGCACTCTGGGATAGCTCCCGGAGGCCAATACCATCGAATTGTGTCCACAGTACCCCAAATTCGAGCCGGCAAGGCCGATTTAAGCGAAAATCCACTTGTCAGGGGTGGAGTAAGGAAATCAATTTTAAGAGCCCTTTAAGTCGAAATAAAGGGCTTCATCGTGTGGATGGGTGCAGGTTTACATCGATTTAACGCTGCTAAATTCGACCTAAAGTCCTAGTGTAGACCAGGGCATAGACGTGCTAATTTAAGCCCTGACACTGCAAGTTTTCCCAAATGGGTGGACCCCTGCACTCATATGGACACCCGCTGAAGTCCAACCCCATTGAAATCAATGGATATCTGCATGCGTGCAGTGGGTCTGCCTGCTTGGAGCAGCTTGCAGGATTGGGGCCTTATTTGGTGTATTGAATTTTTTTTAAAAATCCCAACTTGATTATCACACACATTGTAAGGAGAGTGATCACTTTAGATAAGCTATTACCAGCAGGAGAGTGGGGTGGGGGAAGGTATTTTTTCATGCTTTGTATGTATAAAAAGATCTTCTACTCTTTCCACAGTATGCATCCGATGAAGTGAGCTGTAGCTCACGAAAGCTTATGCTCAAATAAATTGGTTAGTCTCTAAGGTGCCGCAAGTACTCCTTTTCTTTTTGCGAATACAGACTAACACGGCTGTTACTCTGAAACCTGTCATTATTCCTGAATGTTATGAACCTTTTCTGAAGGCTTTCAACTCCACATAGATCGAGATGCTAGAGCCTGAACCTGTATCTGCCTGCATACAGCTATGCATGGAGCCATGGGATGACCCAAGCCTTCACCTTTGTTTCACCTCCAGACTGAAAGGCTGGCTGGTTATTAAGGAATTACATTCAGAATGAAGGGCAGGCTAAGAGCCCCAGGGCTGTCTCTGACCATTCGAATTGGCCACAGGCATTGATGTGGCAGCATAGCAAACTCACACTTCCAGGCCGGGGCTTCCCATCACAACATTTCAGAAGACAAGAGGGATATTTCTCCCTCTAAAATGGAGATACAGAAAGAAAACAAAAACCAACCATCAGGTCACGCTTCCTTTAATTCCATTATTTATTTATTTGTATATGGACTCTGTAAACAAAGTGGTGAGATTTATGAGAATTTTGTGCTGATGTGGCCATTTTGATAGCCAAAGAGATGAAAATGTCAGTCCATGGGCCTGATCCTGTAAAGGGTTGAGCTCTGTGGGCCTGATCGGAAGCCCTTTGGAGTTCGATTCCTAATGGGTTTTGGATCAGAACCTATATGCAATTCGAATTCTCCTCCAGCAGCAGATTTACACCAGCGTAACTCCATTGACTTCACTGGAGTTACTCGTGATTTATCCAGGGTAAGTGATAAGAAAATCAGGACCAACAACTTGGCTTTTCTTTGTGTTGTGCAATGGACATAACTGACCAAATTGGACACACAGCTGAGTCGGGCTAATAAGTACCACCTCAGTATACATGGCACAAATAAATAGATCTTTATTTTCAATAAATAGACACTCTCCATCATACCAGACAATATGCCATGAAAAAATGTACAGAAGCATCCAGCAAAACAGACAGCTTGACTGTAGCTAAAACTCACTCAGTGGTTTGAAAAACTATCTTGTTTAGTACATAAAACACAGAAAGACCCACTGCAGCCTGCTAAGAAGGGAATTAAAACCATGTGTTGTTTTGGGTTTTCTTATCTGCAAAAGCTCCCAAAGCAGGATCTTTTGCACAACATAAGAAAGGTCTTTAAAAGCTTGTCATGGCTTTTCCAGAATGCACTTTATTGAAAAGGTTTATTTTGCTATGTCATACTCTATCTACTTTACATACAGAGATTGCTATATTAGAGTGGCAGGGTCTCATTACTGACAGAACATTAGCTCCATGTTATACATGGTTGTATGTGAGGGCCTGTGTGTGTAACACTGCACATGTACACACACAAACACATACACACACCCAGACCCACAAAGGCACAAATACATACTAACAGGAGTTTAATTTTGTTGAACAAGTACAAAGACAAAACTGTAGTTAGAAGTGATTTTACCACATGTTCTATCATTTAAAAAAAATACTCTAGCCCATTTACCACATTCACCAAAGAGAACACACAAATACTTACATCTCCAATAAAATGAGTCATGGAGCGGTACTGTAAGGGTAGCGGAGGCAACTCAAAAAGTTTTCAGTTAACTCAGAATCTCCATGGCAGATCAGCCTATAATCTGCTCTGCAATACGTTGGAGCAGGTAAAGAACGCTTCTGCGTTAATAGTGACCTTTTGAATAGTCTCCATTATAATGTACGTGGATTAAAAACAGTGGTGTGGATGCAGCAGATGATGCAAGTAGTAACAGGTCCAACAGGCCACATTAGTCGTGACCCTGTGAAAACAATGGGCACATGAACAAGTGATACATGGTTTGCATTATGAAGGTTCACTGAGGCACGTAGGCTAACGCAGCCAGTTTGTTACCAGCAGCTGTAACAGTTACTTTCAATTCCATGGAAATCACATGGGAGCGTGTGTGGGTTTGATTTTTTTTCCTCAGTTGTTTGCTTGTGTTGGTGATGAAGGACCATTCTCACGTCACCTCAAGAGATGCTGGAGAGACGCGATCACACTCAGCCCGGGACCGCAGACTGTGCCATTGCTCCACCGCTGTCCGATGGGAATTGAGCATTCGACGCCAGTGGTTTGACTCTGGTGAGCCTGTCGAATACTGACCAATCACAATCCTTCCAACAAAGTCATTGCTGCTTTTCACGTTGTGGCCATAAACTGAAGAAACAGAAACGAAAGCGGGTCAAGATCAACACCTACAACAAACATCCCCATCACATCTACAGAAAGCCGCCTTTCTCTAGGTTACTAACACCATATTTGGTGAGTGCAGAAATCCCACCAGGCAGCAGGGACCATTTTAAAATCCAAAGAGCCATTTCGCAGTCGGATTTGTACAGGAATGAATCCAGGTAAATTGCAGAACTTATGTACAAACCAAGGAATCCTCATATCCCCACAGCACAGCGAAGAGCAGAATAATGCAGCAAAAGAAGGGAAAGATTCATGGGGAATCTAGAGCAGTCAAAAAAGGAGCTCAATAGCAAATGGTCCTCAAGAGTGAAATCCTTGCCTCACGGATTGGGGAGCTTTGCCATTGACTTCAATAGGGCCAGGATTTCATCACTAGAGAATAACATCAGAGTAATGCAGTGTGGGGATAACCCAGAGACTGAAATCAATGGGAAAAGTCTCCTCCTGACTTTGATGGGTTTTGGGTGAGGTCCTAAGATTAGCAGCACCTTTGACAGAAGGGAAGAAGGAATCGTCCTGCAGTAGATGTCTGCGGTGATGAAATGTATTTTTGCATTAGGCCATATGCCACATAGAGGACAAGGACAGGGCATAGAATATGGTATGTACAATTCTGGTTATTGTATGGAAAAGACTTTGCAAAAATTGAAAGCATAATGCCCGAGCATTTTTGCCTATGAAAAAGGTTATGCAGACCTGGTCAGCTGCTTGGAAAAAATAAATGTTATTTTATAGATTAAAATAAGATTCTAATCTGAGACAGATACCTTGGTGCCAACAGATTAGAGCTTGTTACAGTGATATTTAGCAAACAGGAAAAGTAAGGGGAAAACAACTAGCCCAGATACAATTATAGTAGAATTTTTTTATATAAAAAGAGGTTGAAATTTTGGTCCAAACACACTCTAAGGATGAAACAGGTAAATATAGTGAAGGATTTTAAGTGAACAGATGCTATGTATACTTCTTTCATTTTCTAGTTGCAAATGTGCTAGTTAAAATGACCAGAGATCTCGATCTACAGAAAACAATCAGACTTGACAAGGCTGTCCAATGTGATGTCTATAAAGGGCCAATTTTCAGTAATTATCACTAGAGCTACTTGCGAATAGTCCAGCTAAGCAACAAAGAGGGAGGAATAAACTTAATATCCTGTTCCTTCTATTAACCTCCCCTAGTGGAACAAATGCCCACCCACAGCAACAGAAATCATCATTATGCAATATAAAGGCATGGCCCTGGAAAGCATGGAGCACTCCTGTGAGATTGGATTGAGGGCACTCAGCAGCTTGCAGGACAAAGTCCTCCATCAGTGCAGCAGGAAGGTGGATGAAGGGGTTTGAGAAAGCCAAAGGCTTTGTCTACACTAGCACTTTTGTCAGTCAGAGGTGTGAAAAAACACACCCCTGACTGACATAAGTTTCACCAAAAAAGCACCAGTGTGGACAGCGCTATGTTGGTGGGAGACGCCCTCTCCCACTGGCACAGAGCAGCTACACAGGAGACCTTACAGCGGCTCAGGTGCACGGTACAGCTGTGCTGCTCTAAGCTCCATAGTGTAGGCATAGCCAAAGTCAGAGGATTCCCAGGCACTGGCTAGAATCAGAAGTATCAACAAAAAATCTTTAAAACTGGATGGATTTCTAGTCTTCCAGTATAAACTGATGTAGAATGTAACTCTTCCAGGGGATTAATGGAGCCAGTTACCAAGCACTGGATGCTCTATCCCTATTCCCTACAAGTGTCTTTTTATGTTTCTATATTTGCTATTATACTAACGCCACTCTGTAAATAATGCTAATTAACTATGTATAATGTACTTTTCTTAGCATGCAGCAGAGATGGATGGCCTTTGGCTTGAAAACAATCAGAGCCTGAAGCTCTGGGCTTCCCCTTTTCTGTCCTTTTGGCTAATACATCATGCTGCCTCAACCTGCTAACTCAGGGCCCAATCCGGCTCCCATCAAAGTCAGTAGCAATATTGCCATTAACTTCAGCCAGTGCAGAATTGAGCCCCCTGTTCCTGCCTGGGCATGGTTGGTCACATCCCATTTAGGGTTACACATTCTTAGTTTACGCCTTTGGCATTATTCGCATGTTAAAACAGGAGCAAGCAGAAGCAGGGGATTGAACTGAAGTAGTGCCAGTCAAAGGGTTGCATATACAAAGTACCATCTGCAGATGGGGGAAGTTTACTCAGGAATCTCCAGACACAATGCCTGACTCATCATCACCTGGGGAACAGGGTTTTGCAAGGACAGGGCATAGACCTGTCCCTCTGGCCTGTTCCCTGGGGCCTCCTCCCCTCATGGCACAGGTAGGCACAGCTTACATACCGGACCCTGACACCCCTGGAGCAGGAGATACAGCCGCAGCTATCAGCATGAACTCCCACAGCACTCCCAGAGGAGCTCTCCCCCAACCAGCAAGCCATTCCCTCTAAACCTGCAGCTCTCCAAATGCATGATGTTCCTTACGGGGAAGCAGGGAATAATGCCAGCTCCCCTTTTCTATGCTCACCAGCCAGATTTGGGCTATATTTGTGGGATATATCTACTCTGTGCTGCATAATGGGGTTGGCGTGATCACTGAACATCCATTGGCCCAGGACATCTGGGTAAACTCTATCTTTATTACATAAATGGCACTGGTGCTTTAATCCCATGCCCAAACAGGGCGGAGAGGGTCTACTTTTAGGTTTTGGACATACACAGTAAACTGCAGGGAACTCAGATGGCCAAATTCTGTGTTTATTTAACCGTTCAACCCCATGGAAATGAACCGCGTTTAAAGGGGTATACAGCAGGCACAGAATTAAAGGCTGCTTTCGTCCTATTAGAATCCAGATCTGTGAGTCTAAATCTTTCAAACCACACGCTTAAACCATTCAGCCATCAGCTCAGGCAAACCTAACAACTAGCTCCCCAAATCCCAGTATACGCACCCTTTGGAAGTTTATCTATTTTGATTTTTGTGGCGGTGGGAGTTTATAAGGAAGCAGTGACCCGACTCTCGGCTACATGGGTTTGAGTCTATAGCTGAGAGCGCAGTTTGTCTCAGTGGACAGTTTCACATGCTCAGTATTTCAGAAAAGACTCAATGCTGTAGCAGCCTGCCTTGAAAAATCTGTTAACTTTATATCTGAAACTACAGTACTGAGGACATATAGTGCCACTGTCATCTGCTGCTGGAGGAGAGACACCCCAAAAGTCATAAAGGCAAAAATGTGACACAGAAACACCTACAGATACTGCTTAAAACAGAACCCAGTCTATCACGTCAGGAAAGACTCTGGCAATGCTGTGTTCAATTATTTCTATTACAACAGCAAACCAGTGCCCCACTGTGCTACACCAGCACATGCAGAGCAAGAACCAGTCCCATCCCTGAAAAACTTAGTCTAAATATGTTACACATTTGCAATTATACCTTTGCTCTACAAAACTTTCAAAGAATAACAAATAGCCCAGAGGAAAATACTTGCCCTATCCATGTTTATGCAAGATTCTGAAACAAAACATTAGGCAATGTACTATGAGGAACAACCCAACAATGGCAGGAAGATGAACTAAATGACCTAATGGTCTTTAACTTCTCTATTCTATTCTGTATATGTTCTTATAGCGCCTTCATCTCCATAGTATCTGAGTGCCTTCCACAAGCTCATTTAGCAAAGTATTGGTCATGGGAGGTCTGGTTCTGGTTGCGGTTCCCAACTTCTCTGATACTTACGGTATATCCAGATGTAACTGATGTTCTAGCAAACTATTTTGGAATATTTCTAGTTGAAACTACAAAAATGCATAAAAGTTTTCTCTCTCTCAAATTCTTGACAGTCCCAGTTTAGAAACAGTTAACGTCATTTTGCTGAACCTGTGCTATAGAAACAATATGAGCTCCAAACATGGAGGGCAGTGTTTGAAAAATCCACTTTAAAACTCTGAATGCCGTAAGTGTGTGTCTTTAAACTACAATCAATATTTATATTTGATTTATAACCCTAAGACAGGAGGTCAGATTCTGATCTCAGCTACACCAGTGGAGATCCAAGTAACTCGATTCGCTCGAAGGGAGCTACTGCAAAGGAAAGGATGGCGTAATGAGAATCACCCGTTTTGTGTGGAATGGCCACTCGTCAGCATGCAAGGCAGAATTTCAGACTATCCATCTCTTTAACTAGTACACAGCCTGTCAGAGTTATTAATGAGTTCTCATAGTAGGCAAAGCATCTCAAACATACCCAGCAGGACTATGAGAAATGCCTGAAAGATACCAAGGGGGATTTATTATCTGACAGTAAACAAACATGCAAAAAACAACAACAAAATTCCCCCCCCAAAAAACACCCCCACCAACTTCTATAATGGTATTTTTTCTCTTTGTTTCAACAACAAAAGAAGAAGCAGAACCTGAGACAAAATACCATGTAATTTAAACCATCAGGGATAGGATGTTCTACACTAATTAATCGCAGCACAGATTAGCAAATACAAAGTATTCCAGGCAATAAAAGGTTTCTTAACAACCAGTTAATGTTGGGACTGTAAACTGAGTAGCTGAGTTCAAAATGTGGGGATCACTTATTGTTCTGTTGATGCGAGGCAGATTGGATTCCAGTGATTTTAAGTGCACAAGTTGAAACCTTGCCTTTTAAAGGATATACATTTCAAACCATTTTCTTTAATTCCAAGAGAACTACCTGAGGGTACAGCACTCGTCCCCCAGCCTAAGGAGAATTCCAGGGCTTATCTGGCAGAGTCAGATAATTAGCATATGGAATCTTTAAGGTAGCAATATGCTAATTATACTACAGCTTCCTACCACCATTATTAGTGCTGCTATTATTGCTAGCGCTGGTGCAGTTCCACGATTTCTGAAAAAGGGGAACAGAAATTTCCTGGTGTTAGACGTTAGACTTACTTCAGTCAGGTGGCATTTTAGGACTGCCACAGATAGCCCTGTCC